GTGGGTCAAGTGGTAGAGTGCTAGCCTTGAGCTGAAGAGCTGAGGGACAGTACTCAGGCCCAGAGTACAGGCCCCACGACCGGACCTCCCCCCCCCAAAAAAAAGAAATAAAAGTCTTGTGGACTTTCCTGACTAGGCTGACTTTAACAATGATCCTCAGATCTCAGTCTTCTCACTAGCTAGGATTATAGGTGTGAACCACTCATGCCCTGCTATGGGCTAGCCTGAAAACTAGGAGTCTGGGAACCCTCACTTATAGTTCAGTTGAGATAGCTTTCACCTCTCCCAGTGTCTGAATGGCTCTATTAATTAGATAGTTACCCTTCCCTTATGTCCCCAGTCCAATTTGTTCTTCCTTTGATTCATCTTATTATCCTATTTTACTCCAGTTTCCTTCTGAATGCTTATGAGTGAGCCCCAAGTACAGGCCTGGCTCTGTTATGTCACAATCAACTGAAGATGTCAGCCAGATAATGTATCTGAGATTACCACTTTGCTGTGGCTACCTCAGCCTGTCAACTAAACAATCTGAGATTCTTAGGAGCAGATAAACCTATAGGCAATTTGTCACTATTTAATTTTCATTGCTAAAATAATTGTACAAAGTTAATGAATAGCTGAGTTGGGGCAGAGGAAGAGTACAGCTGGATTGGAACAGAAAAAGTCAAAGGCAGTCCTCATATTTACATATACAGAATGAATGAGGAGAAACTCATCAGTGACCAGCCTGTGTTCTGCTTCTTGGTAGGAAAATGGTTATAGGGTGATCTACCCGAGGGTCTAGTAACCATCATCATCTGAATATTTTTATGAAGGGCCTAATATCTGGTGTTCTGGACCTTCACTTTTAGAATATCATGGTCCAAGATATGGATGTGGTTGAATACAAGATGAGATTCATACTTCTGATATTGTTTAAATCACACTTTGTAAGATTATTTATTTATTTATTATTTACTTATTTATCTATCTATCTATTTAGTAGTTATTGCCAGTCCTGGTGATTGAACTCAGGGCCTGGGCTTTTGTACTCAATGCTAGAGCACTGTATCACTTATGCCACAGCTCCACTGGTGGTTAATTGGAGATATTCTCACAGAGTTCCCTGCCTGTGCTGATTTCAAACTGTAATCTTCAGATCTCAGCCTCCTGAGCAGCTAGTATTACAGGTGTGAGCCACCGGTGCTTAGCTTAAATAACTACCTTTTAATGTCCCCATTACTCCTCTTGATTTCTGGGGAGAAAAATATCAAGAAAATATATTTTGTGCTATCATATTTTTAATTCTTGAGTGCAGAAGACTTTTCTTAGACCCTCTCACAACTCTTATCTGAGATCTTAGCTGTACAGGCTAAATAGGAATGGTTGGCAAATACTTGTTAAATCAACCAGATCTGATAGGTATAAGCACAGTACCTTTTTTTTTTTTTTTTTTTTTTTTTTGGTCCGGTCGTGGGGCTTGAACTCTGGGCCTGGGCGCTGTCCCTCAGCTCTTCAGCTCAAGGCTAGCGCTCTACCACTTGAGCCACAGTGCCACTTCCGGCTTTTTTCTTTTTGCTTATGTGGTGCTGAGGAATCGAACCCAGGGCCTCATGCATGCAAGGCAAGCGCTCTACCACTGAGCCAACTTCCCAGCCCCGCACAGTACCTTTTAATGTAATCAGTGTTTTGAATCTTGGTGCCTTTCTCTATACAATATGGGTGGTCAAGGAAAGAGAAAACACTAGAGTTAAACTGAGTAAAACAAAATATATGCATGTCTAAAATCCCATACCGAAATTCCTTGGTGAAATTAATACATACCAGAAAAATGAATGTTAAGTTAAATCAGGCTAGGGTGTGGTGTAGGAGGCACCAATTGGATAAATGGTGTTGCTAAAAAACAGAGGGTGAATGAGAATGTGCTCAAACAGAACGATGAAACTTGCAGAAACTTTTTTTGGGGGGTTGGTTTGGGGGCTTGAACCCAGGGCCTGGGCACTGTCCCTGAGCGGTTCAGCTCAAGGCAAACACTCCACCATTTGAGCCACAGTGTCACTTCCAGTTTTTTGGTGGTTTATTGGAGACAAGTGTCTCACAGACTTTCCTGCCTGGGCTGGCTTTGAATCGCGATCCTCAGATCTCAGCCACCTGAGTAGCTAGGATTACAGGCTTGAGCCACTGGCGCCCAGCTTGCAGAAAGGGTTTTAACAAAGGGGTTTTAAAAGCAGGGGTTAGAAACAATCGCACGAAAGAAAAAAGAACATCTGAATACATATCTTAGGGTTCATTTCCCTAACATCAACTTATTTGTCCTTTTCTGCTTGACTCAGACATATATTAGTTATTGCAAATAAAGGAAACCATGGGAACTATGCTTCTTTGGGCCTGGCTTACTTCACTTAATATAATTTTTTCCAAGTCTTTCCATTTGCTAACAAATGGGGCAATGTCATTCTTTCTGATGGAGGCATTGAATTCCATTGTGTATACATACCACATTTTCTTGATCCATTCATCTATTGAGGGGCATCTGGGTTGGTTCCATAGCTTAGCTATGGTAAATAATGCTGCAATAAACACAGTTGTGCTGGTAGCTTTAGTGTGGTCTTGTTTGTGATCATTTTGGTAAATGCCCAAAAGTGGGATTGCTGGTTCATAGGGGAGCTCTATGTGGAGTCTTTTGAGGAACCTCCATACTGCTTTCCAAAGTGGTTGAACAAGTTTATACTCCCACCAACAATGCAGTAGGATTTCCTTCTGTCCACATTCCCTCCAGCATCTGTTGTTATTAGAGTTCTTTTTTTTAAGTATTTTTGGGGGGGGGTCTGGTTGTGGGTCCTGTACTGTGGGTCTGGGCGCTGTCCCTCAGCTCTTCAGCTCAAGGCTAGCACTCTACCAGTTGAGCCACAGTGAGACTTCCAGCTTTTTTCTTTTTGCTTATGTTGTGTTGAGGAATTGAACCCAGAGCCTCAGGTATGTAAGGCAAGTGCTCTACCACCGAGCCACATTCCCAGCCCTAGAGTTCTTGATTATAGCCATTCTAACTGGGGTGAGGTGGTATCTCAATGTTGTTTTGATTTGCATTTCTTTTATGGCTAGGGAGGTTGAGCATTTATTTCTTCATGTGTCTATTTGCCATCCTTCTTTCCTCTTCAGAGAAGTTTCTCTTTAAGTCTTTAGCCCACTTATTTATTGGGCAGTTGTTTCTTTGAAGATTTGTTGTTGGGGGATTTAATTTTTTGAGTTCCAGGTATATTTTAGATATGAGACCCTTGTCCCTTGTATGGCTAGTGAAGATCTTCTCCCAATCCGTGGGCTTTCTATTGTTCTTGCTAGCTATGTCCTTTGCCATGCAGAAGCTCTGCAATTTCATGCAATCCCATTTGTCCAACCTTTGATTTGTTGCATTTCTGGGTCTCTATTAAGAAAATTTCGGCCTGTGGCAAGGAGACCTTGATGTTGGTATAATTTGTGGAGGGGAAGGGAAAAAACAGATCGTTTAAATAGGGATACAGGTAGACCCATTGCAACAGTGAGATGTACAAGTCCTTATGTGGAAAACGAACCTTACAACTTTGGTGGGGGGGGGAGGAGGATTGGGTGAGGGGGCAAGGGGAGGATGGGAAGGGGAAACAAAGGAGGAGGCTACAATGCTTGATAAGAAATGTAGTCCTTGGGGCTGGGAAGGTGGCTTAGTGGTAGAGCGCTTGCCTTGCATGCATGAGCTCCTGGGTTTTATTCCTCAGCACCACATAAGCAAAAAGAAAAAAGCCAGAAGTGGCGCTGTGGCTCAAGTGGTAGAGCGCTAGCCTTGAGCTGAAGAGCTGAGGGACAGTGCCCAGGCCCAGAGTTCAGGCCCTACGACTGGACCCCCCCAAAAAAAGCCTTTGGGGCTGGGAAGGTGGCTCAGTGGTAGAGCACTTGCCTTGCATGCTCGAGGCTCTGGGTTCAATTCCTCAGCACCACGTAAGTAAAAAACTGGAAGTGGTGCTGTGGCTCAAGTGGTAGAGTGCTAGCCTTGAGCTGAAGAGCTGAGGGATAGTGCCCAGGCCCAGAGTTCAGTCCCCACGATTGGAACCCCCCCAAAAAAAATAAGAAAAAAAAAGAAATGTAGTCCTTATCTTGCCCATGTAATTGTAACCCGTATGCAACCCGTATGTACAGTATTTTCACAATAATAAAAAAGTAAGTGCACCTAAAGTGTAAAACATCTGTATTCATACAAAACATTAATGGGAAAATTAGAATAAAATTGTTTGTGCTTCAAAAAAAAAAGGGGATACAATTACATGGGCAAGGTGATGAGTACATTTCTTATCAAGCATTGTTACCTCCTCCTTTGTTTCCCCTTCCCATCCCTTCCCATAACCCCTCTGTACGGTATTTTTACAATAAAAAATTTAAAAAATAATCCTCCTTTCAAATAATAAATACAGAAACTTCAGCTGAAAAAAAAGGGGAATGGTGTCGGCGAGAGAAATAGGTGTCATCCGGATACATTGGAAATGTCACAATGAAACGTCCCTCATACAAGTCTTGTATGCTGATTAAAAAAAAAGAAAACGGAAAAAAAGGAATGAGATTTTATCCATTTCATGAGGGAAGTTGTGAGGGCGAAGAGACAATATATTATAAAACAATCAGCTCATACTGCAGGGCAGGGCAGCTTTAATGAGAGTGCGTAGGAGGAAGGCAGTGAGGGTAAAGGGGCGGGGCCTTATGTTAAGCGACGGTTGGCCCAGTCACAAAAGGCGTTCTATCTTCTTTCACAACACATTTAGAACGAAACCGGTCAGTGGTTAGGCATTCATCCAGGAGCCGCGGGGCTGGGAAAGGCCCTTGCTGATTCCTTTGCCGCACATCCCGAGACGGTTACCATGGAATCGAGGAAAGAGCTGCCTCGAGAAGAGAAAACAGCGCAAAGCCTGTTAGAAGCCTGTTAGAGTTTCGGTTAGAAGTAGGCGTCACCTCCGGCACGGCTGACACTTCCGGTGTGCTGGCAGCCAAAACCAATCCGCGCTTTGCGGGGTTGCGCCTGCGACGCCAGCAACGCAAAGCTCCACCCGGAAGTGAATTCCTGGATGTCGAGCTCAAACCGCTACCATGAAGTAAGGAGTAACGTCCACTCTAATTATCGGGGGAAGGGGACTGAAGAAGGGATCAGCAGCGGAGGGAAGCCTTCCCGGGACTGATGTTATATAACGTTCTCGGAGAACAAAAATTGGGAAAATATAGGTGGCTGCAATGCTGAGTTTTGCTTCCCTCAATTCTGACCGGAACCAGCTCACCTGATCAGTTTTTCCCCTTTTCTCTCCTCCGCGCAGCCCTTTAACTAAGGTGAAGCTTATCAATGAGCTGAATGAGCGAGAGGTCCAACTTGGAGTGGCTGATAAAGTGTCCTGGCACTCAGAGTACAAGGACAGCGCTTGGATCTTTCTGGGTGAGGCCCTTATCTATTTCTAGCAGGGACGCTCACTCGTATTTTCTGATATATATTGTCGGTCGTGGGGCCTGAATTCTGGGCCTGGGCGCTGTCCCTCAGCTCTTCAGCTTAAGGCTGGCGCTCTACCACTGGAGCCATAGCGCCACTTCCGGTTTTCTGGTGGTTTATTGGAGATAAGAGTCTCATGGACTTTCCTACTTTCCTGCCCGGGCTGACTTTGAACTGCTTGCCTCAGATATCAGCCTCCTGAGTAGCTAGGTTTCCTACCATGAGCCACCGATCTGATGTTTTAAGGCCTTGATCCATCTCTTCCTTCACATCTCTCATTTTAATCACCCCTCTGCTTTTGAATACATTTATCCTATCTTTTCCTGACCGTTCTTTACTGTCCCTCTTAGTACTTCTGACTGTATTTGTAATTCACGTACTAATGCTCTTGCCACCTGGGTTCTAACAGACCATTATGCCTCTCTCACTTCCACCCATTTCAAAGCTAAGGAAACTTGAGACTCAGACAGGCTAGCAAGCTCCTTAAGGTCACATAGCTAGCAAATACAATAGCTAGGAATATGGGATTCTAAAACTACTGGTCTTAGACACTGTCCTTTATTCCTAATAACTGCTCTAATTCCTATTCCCTAAAAATTTATTTTTCCCATTTAATTAGCTCTTTTTTTCTCTCCATGACTGTATTACCATTTGTACATTCACTTTGTGTCACAACCATAATAATAGAATTTAAAGAGTTTGACTATCAGATATTGTGGTAAGCACTACACACACACACACACACACACACACACACACACACACACACACACACACATTTAATTAGAACAAACCTGTAAGGCACATACACTAATATTCCCATTTTGCAGTTGAGGACACAAATGGGGAGAGGGGGGATTATTTGCTATGAAGTGCTTAACAGTTGTCTTTATCACTTTTACCTTGTGTTTAAGTGAGGTTAATAATGACATATTATGCTGAAAATTTTTGTGGAAGTAGTTTTGTTACAGATACTATTTGTTTTAACCATAGAACTTGGGATGTCAGAAAAATGGAAGGATTAGATTAGTTTGGTCAATGGTGACCCCATCCTTTCCACTCAGAGATAAATGCTATTTTTTTTGTGATCTGCTGATACTCACATGCAATCAGACTACTTTTTGTGAGGGCAAGGACATTTCCTGGCCAAGTTCATTGTATGTTGCAAATACTTTGCTACTGTTTGAATTGTGGTGTGATTTTTTTTCTTTTAGGAGGGCTTCCTTATGAACTGACTGAAGGAGACATCATCTGTGTGTTCTCACAGTAAGTCTCCTTTCATTTCCTGTCACATGGATCAATAGAATAATTGCTTCTGTGCTTCATTGTTGGCATCAAAGAGCCATTTAAATTCTAGATTGAATGGCATTCCTGTATGAGGAGGGCTAGAATGTTTGCTCTAGTCTTGATCATTTCTGTGATAAGGTTCTATAACATGAGTATGTGGAAGATACTAGAATTGGAATAATTTAGAGGTTGACTTGGTGATTTTGTTCTGTTACTTTTTTTTTGTCCCAGTCATGGGGCTTGAACTTGGGGCCTGAGCACTGTCTGTGAGCTTTTGTGCTCAAGGCTACTGTTGTACTGTTTGAGTTATAGCTCCACTTCTGGCTTTTTGGTGGTTAATTGGAGATGAGTCTTATGGACTTTCCTACCCAGGCTGATTTTGAGCTGGGATTTGAGCAGATCCCAGCCTGTTAGGTGATTTTTTGTTTGTTTTGTCACTCATGGGACTTGAACTCTGGGTCTGGGCACTGTCCCTGAGCTCTTTAGCTCAAGATGAAAGCTCTACCACTAGAGTCACAGCGCCACTTCTGGTTTTCTGGTGGTTAGTTGGAAATAGTCTCCCGGACTTTCCTGCCCAGGCTGTCTTTGAACCATGATTAGCAGATGTCAGCCTACTGAGTAGCTAGGATTACTGGCCTGAGCCACCGGTGCCCAGCCTATTTGTTACTTTTTCAGGCCCTTATTCAGTCTGAGCTTACAGTGAAACAGACTAAAACTCTCAGGAAGTTATCATGTTGGCCCGTAACAAGAAAGTCTATGTGATTCTTATCTACAACTAACCACTAAAAAGCCAGAAGTGGAGCTATGGCCAAAGTGGTAGAGCACTAACCTTTTTGTTAAAATAAAGCTCAGAGACAGCATCCAGGCCCTGAGTTCAAGCCCCAGGATGGGCACAAAAAATGTGTTGGTCATGTACCTCCTCCTTCCTCTCTTTAGATGGAAAAATCTCAAATGATAATTGGATCAGAAAGTTCTAGAAATCTAGTCCTTGAAGCAGCAGCTAGATTTGATAGAGCAGCAGGACAAGAAGTAACTGAAGGGAGCACATGCTCACAGCCCTATTTTATATTAACATGTTAGATTTGAGGCTGAGGTATATATGTGATTGTGTAACATAGCTATCACTTTCTATTTTATTTTTGTGAGTCCTGGGGCTTGAACTTAGGGCCTGGGCACTGTACCCAGGCTGCTTTTGCTCAAGGCTAGTGCTCTACCAGTTGAGGCAGAGCACCACTCTGGCTTTTTCTGTTTATATGGTACTGAGGAATTGAACCCAAGGCCTCATGCATGCTAGGCAAGCACTCTACCACTAAGCCACATTTCAAGCCTATTTTATTTTTATAAATTTATTTTTATTTATTTATTTTTTGGCCAGTGCTGGGGCCTGAACTCAAGGCCAGGGCACTGTCCCTGAGCTTCTTTTGCTCAAGGCTAACACTCTACCACTTGAGCCACAGTACCACTTCTGGCTTTTTCTGTTTATGTGGTAGTAAGGAATTGAACCCAGGGCTTCATGCATTCTAGTCAAGCACTCTACCACTAAGCCATATTCCTAGCCCTATAAATTTATTTTTAATATATAAAACTTTAACTTATCTGGAGTACTAAATTAATTTCCACTTTGATCTTTATTTAAAGCCCTTATACATTTATTTCATTAGATTTATTTCTTCTAATATATATTTATATGTATATATACATACATACACATATATATATGTATATATGTATACATATACATATCTATATATATCTAGAGAGAGAGAGACAAAGAGAGTTTATATGTCAGTCCTGAGGCTTGAACAGAATTAGAGTTCGGATGCTATCCTTTAGCTTTTCACTTGAGGCTAGTGCTCTGCCACTTGAGCCAAAGCTTCACTTCTAGCTTTTTAGTGGTTAATTGGAGATAATAGTCTCACAGACTTTCCTGCTTTGGCTGGATTTGAACCGTGATCCTCAGATCTCAGCCTCCTGAGTAGCTAGGATTACAGGCATGAGCCACCAGCATCCAACCTTGTTCTTTTTTTTTTTTTTTACAAACAAACAAAACTATTTACTTTTTAATTTTTCTGGTACTGGATTTGGAACTCTTAGCTTTGAGCTTACTATGAAGCTCTAACTGTTGAGCCACACCTCCAGCTCAGCCTTTCTGCTGGTTTTTATTTTTTGTCAGTTATGGGGCTTGAACTCTGGGCCTGGGCCCTATCCCTCAGCTCTTCAGCCCAAGGCAAGCATTCTATGCTGGTTATTTTGAGAATAGAATTTCATGGATTTTTTTTTTTTTTTTTTGCCCGGGCTGGCTTTCAACCTTGATTCTTTGGATTTCAGCCTACTGAATAGCTAGGATTACAGCTGTGAGCCAGTGGTGCCTGACAACAAAAAAATTCTTCCCTCCCTCCCCCG